CTTTACCTAAGAACCTCTTTCATGTTTGTACAAGGAAAAGCATGGCAAACAGTGAAATTTTACTAGTCTAAAACATTCCCCTCCCTCTTCTCCATTCCCAGTTTTCCACTAGAGAGGCTAGAAATGCTAGCTTTTTAGAAAGAAATACTTTCTTTCTACCTCCCTATGGCTGGGGGTGGCCATGAGAATCTGTCCTGGCGAATATGGCATAAACAGAAGTCTACTGTGAGATTTCTGGGAAAGCTTTTCTTTTCTTTTTTTTTTTTAAGCTTTTCTTTTTTAATAAAGGGACAGATGTGGTTGGTGCTACCCTTTTTTCCTCCTCCTCACCAATTTCTTTATGCCTTAAATGTGAAAGTGACGTCTGGTACTGTGGTGGCCATATTGTGACCATGAGTCCAACGTATTAAGCTAAAGGTGATGGAATGGAAGATAGAAAGGGCCAGGGTCTCTGATGACATCATTCAGAAAGGAGATACAACTTCCTGTTTCCTAATTGTAATGAGACAAATAAATCCTTACTGACTCAAGCCACTGTTAGATTTTCTGATTGTAATGAGACAAATAAATCCTTACTGACTCAAGCCACTGTTAGTTTGATTTTCTGAATACTTACAACCAAGAAAAGACCCTAACTGATACAAGGTTTGGTTTGAATTTCAGTCTGAGAACCACCCCCACCCTAAACGATGTTAATACTTTCCATTTTATCTCTTGTCTATTTTAGGTGAGATTGTTTCATCTGTACTAATCATTATAAGCTGTTTTCAATTCAGTAAGTAAGCTGGACCTTTCCAAAGGGGATAGTTTAGTGTTGCAAACTTTAGCACATTATCAAGATGTGTATGTAACACAGTTCAAGAATCATCCTTTTAACCAGTTCGGTCAATGAGGCCAATTACAGACCAGGAAGGAGAAAATTTAAAGTTAATCTCTTTGTATCAGAAGTGCAGATAACTCAAATCAAGTCATTTTCTGTGCAAGTTAATGAAATGAAACTGACTTCCATAAAGTAGAAAGCATGTCTTCTCTGTAAGTATTCTTATTTTTTCTACCCCAATTTTGTATCTCTGGGAATCGGACATGCTCTCTTGGCAGACTCATCTGTTTTTAGTGGAAAGATGTACAGGTCTTCCAAAGCACTTCTCCTTTCGACTCCCCCTGGTTCTGATTAGTACTCCCCAGAGTGACAGACACACTTGTGTAGTTTCTAAGCAGCCAGCTGCAATGCCGTGTATCTATCAGCATCATCATTTGACACTCTCAAGTTCCCCATGATCTCCCAGTCACTTCAGATAGTCAGTCATGTTCAGGTTAGTGTCACTTGTTCTGAACCAATTCTCCATCAGTTATGGGGAACAAAGCTAAATAATTTACACTGCTATTTAACAGAGAGCCCCTAAACTTTGAACATACACAGTCATAAAAGGGTTCCCTGAAAAGATAGCCTTTTATGATTCTTTGGAAAATTATTTCAGTTCAGTGAGCTATATACATCATCAAACACCATGGGTATGAATAACAGTGTTGCATTCTGTTGATTCTGGCTCCAAATTTGCATGTCAGATCATTCAATAACAATCACCAACTGCTTTTTGTTATAAATTGAGGTTAAATTCACATAACATAAAATTAACCAGTTTAAAGTATACAACTCAGTGGCATTTAGTGCATTCACGATATTGTGCAGTTGCCGCCTCTATCAATTTCCAGACATTTTTATCACCCCAAAAGAAAATCCCATACCAATTCAGCAGTCACTCGCCATTGTCTCCCTCCAGCCTGGGACAACCACCAATCTGCTTTTTGTTTTTATGGATTTACCTATTCTGGATAATCCATATAAATGGGGTCATACAATATGTGACCTTTTGTGTCTGGCTTCTTTCATTCAGCATAATGTTTTTGAGGTCCAGCCACATCATAGCATGTATCAGTACTTTATTTCTTTTTATGGCTGAATACTATTCCATTGTATTGATCTACCACATTTTGCTTATCCATTTATTATTGATGAACATTTGGGTTGTTTCTATCTTTGGGGTATTGGGAGTAGTGCTGCTATAGAAATGTATGTACAAGTATTTGTTTGAGTATCTTTTTAAAATTCTGTTGGCTATGTTCCTTGGAGTGGAATTGCTCGGTCAGATGGTAGTTTTGTGTTTAGCATTTTGAGGAAGGACCACACTGTTTTCCACAGCAGCTACACCATTTTACATACCCACCAGCAATATACAGAAGTTCCAGTTTGTTCCCATCCTTACCAACACTTGTTTTCCTTTTGTTTTTTTATTATGGCCATCTTAGTGGGTATAAAGTGGCATCTCATTGTGGTTTTGACTTGCATTTCCCTAATGATTAATGATGTTTAGCATCTTTTCATGTGCTTGTTGGCTGTTTGCATATCTTCTTTACAGAAATGTCTTTACAAGTTCTTTGCCCATTTTTAAAATGGGTTGTTTGTCTGCATTGTTGAGTTGTAAGAGTTCTTTATATATTCTGGGTAAAGGTTCCCTCTTGGATATGTGATTTGCAAATATTCTTTTCAGTTATGTGGGTTTTCTTTTCAGTTTTTAAATAATGCCCTTTGATGCGCAAAGGTTTTTAATTTTGATGAAGTCCAGCTTATTTGTCCTTTCATTGCTTGTGTTTTTGATCTCATATCTAAGAATCCATTGCCAAATCCAAGGTCATGACGATTTACCACACTGTGTTTTCTTCTAAGAGTTTTATAGCATCAAATGCTTTTGTGAAGTTAGCACAGCGTGACTGCTAAAAACAAAAGTAAAAAGCAATAAAGTTTACGTACTAACCTGCTCCAGAGTAGAGCTTATCTAATGCTGAAGACTGTTTGTTTTCAGTACTATATAATTAGAAGTTGGTCCTAGATTCTGCTACCTAGACGTCACATTGTCCTCTTAGCATCTAATTAACAGAGGTTGTTAACTGATGAGCTAAGTGAGAGAAAGACAATTTAATAAGAAGGTCAACATAGCCCTTGGAAGATAGGCAGATGGTTCTGTAACATGACGCCAAGCTTCTTACCAAATGAAGGCTTACAGCACAAACCAATCCTTGCTGTGTTTCAAAATATTTTAGCTGTCACACAAATTAATTTCATTTCTTAAGCAGCTCCATTAGTTAATACCTTTCACTGAATATCAAGGCAGAGCCTCCACCAATAAGATGTTAGACACAGCTTTGAAATGAGTAGTAGGATGCCCTCATAATGCTATCCAAAGCAGGGCCAGCCTTTGGAAAACTGGACTAGAGATTAAGTTTGTACCTATTGTACCTACTAAGGTTTCAAACACAGTGAGACAGCCTTCTGACCAGCCTATATCCCAGATGTGAGTGGTTTTTATGGCTAGTCTCCGTAGATGTTTAGCTTTGCAGGTTGAGAAATTATTTTTGACTTATTAAGAAATTGTTCAAGTTTAGGAGGCATTCATTTCATTCTAACAACTCACAAGAGGTTGCTGTATCAGTTAGAATGGCAGTTTCAGGATTTATAGAGATTATATCTGCCCAGAGGCCAACATTGGCTATTTGCTTCAACTTCTCTACCTTAGGGGTAAAACCACTGGGAGAATAAATTGGTGCTGCATTTTGGTAGAAATACAGTAAAAGTGCATGTGATGGTTCCAGGTAGTATGGATCTTCACCTGCCCCTCTCAGCTCATAGAAGGAGGGTACTCATGTATAAATATTAGTTGACCTTCCCCAAAGAGGTTCTGTCTTTTAAGAGGTGCACCGCTAATTCCCATGTACAGCTTTTCTCTTTGGTGGGTCGTAGCCTGGACAAAAGCATATTCAGAGTATCCAGGAACATCATTCTATCTACATGTCTCTACCCACAGTTCCTTCCATATTAGGGGAGATCTTGCTCTTCCATGAATCTCAAGCCCAGAGGCAAACGCCGAATTACACTTTGAGTAATTCAGGAGTTTAATAACTTAAAAATTAAGCTCTGAGCCATCCCAAGCAGCAGGGAGTTAATGGTGTTTTATTTTCTCTTGCTTTTTAAAAGCAAGAAAGAATCTAAAAAAAAAAGTAAGTGCATTTAACACTTTCTTTCAAAAAGCAAGAAGGAGCCTGAAAAAAAAGTAAGAGCATTTAACACTTCCCTTCTCACACACCAAACCACAACATTACTGTGGACAAGCAATACCTATCTTAGGGTTTCTCAAAACGGGTCTGGGTGTTACCAGCAGTGCAGAGGTTGATTTCAGCCGTTACCCAGATGCAGAGATTTTATTTTTAAGGTTATGCATTTATGTTAATGTGTGTTAGAAAAATATCTAACTAGCTTATCAAACTCATGGTGTCATAGATACCATTGCTTAGGGTGAAACTAAAGTATGAAAAATATTATTAATTAACTGTTTTAAAGAACTCCATGAGCTGTTTTAAAGAATTACATTGAAGAGTATAGGTGGTAGGAGAATATAGCAAAGATGATAAAGGTAAATAACCAAAGAGCAAAATTTGGGAAACACTGAATTTATTTGTCTTATATTAAGTGACAAAGTTTTAGCAGCTTTTCTGCAATATGTCTGATAGCTGATTTAATAAATCCAACTAATCACATTCCATTCCCTATCTCCTACTTTGACTGGTTTTAAATGCTTACCCCTCAATTGCTTGACATTACAAAGTATGAACTTCATTTGGAAAAAAAAAATGCTTACTATGGCAAGCTCTCCATGGACGTTTCTCCCAATTTTCCTCTTCATTCAAGCATTCAGATTCAGCATTTATCTGTAAATGCACTCCCTTGTGATTATGCCTCATCCTGACTTCCTCTTATCAGTAAGTCAGCCTTGCCTTTCTCCTAGTCTTCCTTTCTCTTCACCCATCCCTGAGCTGTATTTCTCTTGAAACTTCCATTTAGTAATTTATTTTCCTATCTGGCACTAAATGTACATTATTTTCCTCACCCATGACATTCCTCTCCTCTCCTCCTAGTTCTTTCTGCCTAGTGCAACACTTGGTGAAAATAATGACAACAAAAATAGTTAGATGTAATTACTCGCTATTTTTATAAAATTAAGTGTAGCTTGCCCCTGCTCTATTCTAGGTATATTCTAACTAAATAATTGACATTGGCCCTCTGAAGTCAAAGTGCCCTTCCATCTGGGGAGGCTGGATAAACCTAACATCAGCTTGGTCTCCTGCCTTCCTTTTCTTAGGTCTAAGGCAGACTTCCAGCCCTCCTTCTGTTATGACAGCACAACAAAAATCTGAGGCATTTGGCAATATCACTGACAAGACTGCAGTTTTGTTTTTGTTTTTGTGTTTGAGAAACCCAGTGACTTTCTTAACTGGACTAAGAGACAATGGCTCTATTTTGGACATGTTTATAAATGACTTCAAATGAGTCATTTCTGCAGATGCAGTCTTATTCACTTTCCATCAGTTTTAGTATCAGAAGCTAACCTTTCCTTAACTTCATCCCTAAATTTCGGAGCTATCTCCTGTTTGGAACCTTAATGAATTACTGCACTGTTCCATGCAATGTTTCAGCATCTCTGTATGCAGGCCTTAGTCTGTGACCTGTGACAGGGCCTTCCTGTCTCAGTCAGGTGCCCAGATGTAAAGTGATCTTTGCTAACAAAGTTTTCATTGATTAGCAGTTGTGATTAAAAAAGGGAACCCAGGGCACTGGGCTGGCTCAGTTAGTAGAGCGTGTGACTCTTGATCTCGGGGTTGTAAGTTTGAGCCCCAAACTGGGTGTAGAGATTACTTAAAAAAATAAAATCCATATAAATAAATAAATAAATAAATAAAGATAACCCTTCCCTAATGAATGTATGGATTTAAGAGTACAGTACTCCTGTCCATATGGAGGTAAGAATAATAGAAATGTAAATGGGTTTTATGTCGTCTCAAGAGGGAAAGGATGAAGTCTCTGGAAGTACTGGAGGTATAACGGTGAGAGAAGAAGATGGATAAAATGAAATGTAGAAGTTACTTAAAGAGACACTTGGGGAAAATTCCAGAAAAATGGAAAACTAGAGCAGGGATAGGAGGTTGGAAGGATATGCTAGTGGAGTCCGTGGGAGAAGTACATTAGCCTTATAGAGATAAGTATCCAGAAAAGGCTCGGAAAGAGGAAATAGCAGCTTAAACCACTTCCTCTGAACAGACCGAAGGGATCTTGAGATGGGAAATTTGATGAAGAGAGTTAGAAAGGAATCCACAGTCAACTGCTCAAGCAGTATCTGGAGGTTGCAGAGAGAAAGTGGTGTTTAGCTGGGACCAAGGACAACGCATGGTGGCTAGAACTGAGCTTAATGACCACCTGACCTGACAGTGAAATTTGAGTAACAATCTGTTAAAATTGGGTTTAGTGAGTTAAAAATCATTAAGCTGTTTTAAGAAGCCAGACTGTATTCCTGTCACTCGGGATAATTTGTATCCTGCAATCTCCTCACTTCAGAACAAAGCCTTGTTGAAACCTAAGTGACTAACTGGGCTGAGACAGCAAGACCCAGAAAGGAGAAGAAACCAGAAACAAACAAACATACAAATAAATCAGACAAGGACAAGGCCACGGTGTGCATGGTAAGTGGTGATGGGGAAACTTACCGGTCATGGACTACTAGGAAGATTTTCTTGGGGACTACTATGATACATCTTTGTCCCAAGGTATAAAAAGGATTATTTAGGGATATGAGATCTTTCTAGTACTCTTCAAATCTTGCCATATCTAGTTCTGAGTATGAACTGAGGTGGGTCAGAATGCACTTTAAATATATATATTATTGAATACTTAAATACATATATATTCACACTGAAATTCAATTATAGCTGAAGCATAAGTAAAATATTTTTAGATACGTTTTCTTTCAAACCAAATTTTCCTTATGTCAGAAGTGAAACCAAAGAAACACATGGTGAAATTCTGTATTCTCTCTTTTTCTACCACAATTGCTCTATTCTTCTCTACAGGTGGAGGATCATGTTACCATTTAGGTTTGGCAAGCAATGGTAAGTTTTTGATTGCTTCTGATTCAGGTTACTTTAAAATTCCTTTTTTTGGGTGTGATGAAATTCCATACACATTTTTCTTAGAGCTCTTCCCCTCAAAGACCGGTTCCATGTTAAAAGAGTTTTTTTTTTGTTGTTGTTGGCTTGTTTTAAAAGCAAAGCTGCTAATTGAATCTGGTGGTCATCATAGGCAGTATAAAATTTTGATTCGGGGATATGGAAAAAATTTGGAGGTTTACTGAAATGAAATGACTTGGTGGTAGAATCAGACATTGGGTGAAAAAAGGAAAACGGGGCATATGACACTGTGCTATCTCAGAAATGGGAGACCGGTGTCCAGTGTCAGTAGTAGATGGCACCTTGCTCACCCGGGACAGCCATCACCCAGATAAGATAAACCTGGGGATACTATCCTGGCTCTTTGGTTAGTGCCCTACCCCCATGCAGTGCAGTAGGATAAAAACTCAGGTGGGCATTTGGCCAAGGGGAGAACAAGATACTCTATATTGCAGGTAATAAGAAGAGAATTTCCTAAACATACACTTGGAGCTGGAAATGAAGGCAGAATTTGATATTTGCACATATAAGCCTGAGGGAGCAGGGGGGTGAGTATGGGTGATGGATAAAGGCTTTTTTTTTTTTTTTTGAGAAGGTAGCAACCATGTAAACAGCTGTCAAATTTTGTCTTCCTTCTCGACCGTTTCTCAGTCTTGATTTCACACGTCTTCCTCTATATCTTCCCTTCACAGTGTTAACAATGGTCAGGTCTCATGTTAGGAAACTGTGGAAAGGGAGCCACACTATGGTGGATACCTAAAACCCTTATTCTCCAAGTCAAATCAAGTGAGAACTCATGTCCTCCTCCTGCCTCTTCTATCTTCCTTCCCAAACAAGTGCATATGTGCACATGATATTCAGGTTCTTTGTAGTTCTCTGTCACTTTTTTTTTCCATCAAGGTGTGTCTGATGTTCATCTCTAAATGTGTCCTGTCTCTGGAATGGCCCTGTTCAGACACCATATTCTCTCCACTACACATATATTAAGCACCTATTATACACACTCAGTGGATATTCATGAAGAAGAGCCTGTAAGTGGATGTGATTTCCCCTTGTGTCTGCAGTTTGCAGGGATTCGAAACACTCTCACCAGACTCTCACTTCAGCAATTCATTTAAAAATTAGTTGTATTCTGGGGATTCCTGGCTGGCTCAATCAGTGGGGTATGCGACTCTTGATCTTGGGGTCATGAGTCGAAGCCCCCCATTGGGCATGGAGTCTACTAAGAAAAAACTAGTTGTATTCTTTTCTTACCTGCTTGTATGGCATCTGGAGTTTCTTCCTCCAATGTTCTGCCACAAGCGAGCCAGTGTTCTCTGTCCTTGGAAGTTTTTGTCTTTCCTTGGATTTCAAAGCACTTTGTTGTCCAGTGATACCAGCTCTTTGATAAGTTTAAGAAAAGGTATGATTATATTGATTATCCTGCTTTTTCTCTCTTGTTAGGGTGGAAACAATATTATTTCCAGCTCCCTATATCCTAGATAGAACTAGAATTGTGTTTACTTTTAATTATATTTGATTTGGGTTTATGGCAGGATAAGCATGCAGCTATTTTTAAGAAGTAGTAACAAATGTGAGACAAAAGACATGAAAATTCAGGAGTTATCTGCAGATGTGATCATGAGAGCTGATAGAATATGATATTTTAGGGGAAAAATAAACTGCAAAAAAAGTGCTGTTGGTTGGAGAATGAAATCATTGAACTTACTGTAAAAGAAGATAATGTATATATGTCTGTGTTTGATGGGAAGTGGATGGTTGAACAAAATAATTAAACTTTCTTTGTAGTCTATCATTCCAGTTTTTAATCTGTTTTCCTGCTATGTTTGCCCTTTAGTTAAGCAGACCTGTTTCTAGAGAATCATCTGAAAGTTTTTCCTCTTTTCTCTCTCAACTAGTCAATACTGGTACATTCTGGCTTTATCAGCAAAGAAAGTAATCACTATTTCTTTTATTTTTTTCCCCTTTGGATTCCTTTAATTATTTAAAGTGGTACTGCTCCAAATAGCTAAAGACTAATTAAAAAAAAAACAACAACAAATGGTGATTCATTCATTTCCTCAGATGAACCACATCTCAGCCCAAGGGCTCAGGACGGCAGCAGCATGAGGTTAATTCTGGAATCACAGGCTGTTTGCTTGAGAACTTTCACTGATCATCTCTTCTGGGTGGGAGCTCCCACTGATTGCATCTACAGAATGACAGATGAGAATTAGGCTTTCTATTTGGGAGGTAGGTATTTTGAGCACAACTGAGCATGATATAGGTAGGGTGGATTAGGTTGAAACGAACCCCAGTCTGACAAAGCCCTTAAAATACACACACACACACACACATGCTCAATAACAAAGGCAGTATCCACCCTCAAGATCAAGGTAGTTCTTTTCTGGCAGTAGCAGCCGTGGCGTGATAATTAAAGTAATTAAGGCTATGGACTCTGAGCTTAAATCCCGGCTGCATCAGCCACTAGCTGTGCAACCTTGACAAGTGATTTGCTCTCCCCAGATTTTGGTTTCCTCTAATGTTACATAGGGGTTAATCGTCACAGCTAACATTTGTCAAGTATATGCCATGCACAGAGTATTTTTCACATACTTACTTTTATTTTCTGAGTGCACAAAATTCTTCTTTTAGAACAATAAAGTACATGCACGTATCTGATTTATTTTTGATACGATGAACTGGAAGAAGAGTTAGAAGAAAATATTCAAACTTGAGAACAAAATGGGATGGAAAACACAGAAAAGAGAGTAAAAGTCAAATGGGACACGGTGATTAGGTTTAACACATATAGCTGGAGTCCCAGGAAAAGAGAGAGAATGGGGAGAAGCTTATTTGCCAGACACTGTTAAGCATTTTACAGATATAATGCATTCAATCCTCATAAAAACTCTGAGGTGTAGGTACTGTTCTTGCCACATTCATTGTACAGTTGAGGAGTCCCAGGCACTGGTAAGTTAGGGAACTTGCCCAGGGCCACATAGCTCATAGGTGGTAGAGCTGGGATGTAAACCCAGTCTAGCTTCACAGCCCACATTCTAGCCCAGTCCTATTCTGAGAACTTTGTATATATTAACTCGCAAAATGCTCACCAAGGGGCGTCAGGGTGGCTCAGTCAGTTAAGCATCTGCCTTTGGCTCAGCCTTCAGATTAGCAAACCATGATGATGGTCTACTGCTAGTTAGCAAGGTACATTAAATTTTTCTGTGCCCTTTCCAAACAAAGAATAAGCTGTATATGCACCAAGGAAAAAGGATATGTAAGACGTATAAATCCCCTAAATCTCCTTTGTTTATAAATCCTGCTTGCCTGGTATTTTGATACAATATATATATTCTATTCCTTGAGTCTTTTTGCTTTTAAAATAAATTTTTGTTTTTATCAAGTAATTAAAAAGCAAAATAGTGCTGAATTAGTAGGTGAGAAGCTAAGGTATTGTAACAAAGATGGCTCAAGTATTAGCCATTGTATTTGATGACCCCAGCAATGCTTGATTGCTTCGGATGGCTCCCAGCAATCCTTGATGTTCTTGACTTGTAGCTACATTGCTCCGGGCTCTGCCTCCATCTCCACATGACTTTCTCTCTGTGTGTGTCTGTGTGGCCTCTCCTAAGGACACTGATCATTGCATGTAGATAATTAGAGCCCACCCTAATCCAGTATGATGTCTTCTTAACTTAATTACATCTACAAAGATCCTATTTCCAAATAAGGTCACATGCTAAGGTTCTGGGTGGACATGAATTTTTGGAGGACACATTTTAATCAACTACAACAGGTATTGGTGCCTATGTCCTGGGACCAAAGTAGGGGAGAGGGTCCATTACATGTTCTTAATTTCTTATTTTAGCCCTTTATCTTCCTTCCTTACCCCCAAGCCTGGGACCTTAGTCCAGAGCCTCTTTGGTTTGGGGTGCCCATGTATCTATGGTATCTTGACAAAAATGTTTGGGTACATAGTTGGGTAGAAGATGGTGTAGGTGAATGTGGAGTCACAGATTTTGTGAGGTTGAGAAAGGAGCCTAGGGAGTTTAATTATTTTCTGTCCAGATTTTTCAATCAATCCTTCTTTCAGCCCCAAACCTCACCTCTGTCATTTGCTTTATCTTGGGCCTTCAAATCGAAGCCTTCCAGTGGTTTTAGGGTTGTTTTTCATTCTCTTTAATAGCCTCCCTCCCTGCCCACCCCACCCCCAACTTCACCCCCAGCAAGCACTTTATGTTTTGGCCTAATCTACTCAGCTAAATCTGTTGCCACTTCTCCACACTTCACCATGGGTAGGCTGTTGTTAAAATAGATGAGAAAAGTTGACTTTCATATAGGCTCATAGAAAAACATGAGCTACTGTGTCTGAAAGCATACTAGGCATAGTAATTGTCATATAGTAAGAATTTGAAAGATATTACTTGAATCTGAATTTCCTATGAAAGAGAGCAAATAATTATGCCCTAATTTGTCTGTAAATCTCAATGTTCACATGTTGAATTGGCATCAAGGAGGCTAATATTTAAAAATCCCCCTCTTTCACTTAGAAATATTCTCTTATAAAAAAAGATGTTTTAAGGAGCCTTCATTTTTGAATAATAGGGCCAAATAATTTTACATTAATTTGTTTTAAAAAAATGCTTGTTTTTGGGTGCCTGGGTGGCTCAGTTGTTAAGCGTCTGCCTTTGGCTCAGGTCATGATCCCAGGGTCCTGGGATCGAGGCCCACATCGGGCTCCCAGCTCAGCAGGAAGCCTGCTTCTCCCTTGCCCACTCCCCCTGCTTGTGTTTCTGCTCTCTCTATCTCTGTCTCTGTCAAATAAATAAAATCTTAAAAAAAAAAAGCTTGTTTTTTGTTGTTTAAATATATACATATTTTAATTGAAGTATAATTAACAAAATTATATTAATCTCTGGTGTATAATATAATGATTCCACAATTCTATACATTATTCAGTGCTCATAACAGTAAGTGTATTCTTAATCCCCTTTGTATTACCCATCCCCCCCTACCAACCTCCCCTCTGGCAACCACCAGTTTGTTCTCTGTGTTTAAGTCTGTTTTTTTTGTTTGTTTGTTTTTCCTTAGTATGTTCATTTGTTTTGTTTATTAAATTCTACATGGGGCACCTGGGTGGCTCAGTCAGTTAGGTGTCTGACTCTTGATTTCGGCTCCGGTCATGATTTCAGGGTTGTGAGATTGAGCCCCATGTGGGGCTCTGTGCTCAGTGTGCAGGCTGTTTGGGATTATCTCTCTCCCTCTGCCCCTCCCCCCCACTCGTGTGCACATTCTCACTCACTAAATAAATAAATAAAATCGTTTTAAAAAAGAGATTTTAAAAATTCTACAAATCAATGGAATCATATGGCATTTTCTTTCCCTGACTTATTTCACGTAGTATTATATCCTGTAGGTCCATCCATGTTGTTGCAAAGGGCAAGATCTTATTCTTTTTTATGGCTGAGTAATATTCCATTATATATATTCCCATATATATATATCTTCTTCTTTATCCATTCATCTATTGATGGACACTTGGTACTTGGGTTGCTTCCATTCTTGGCTATTATAAATAATGCTGCAGTAAGTACAGAGGTGCATATATCTGTTCAAATAAGTGTTTTTGTATTCTTTGGGTAAATACCCAGTAATGAAATTTTTAATTTTTTGAAGAACCTCCATACTGTCTTCCACAGTGGGTGCACCAGTTTGCATTCCCACCAACAGTGCATGAGGGTTCCTTTTTTTCCCCACATCTTCACCTGTTTTTTCTTGTGTTTTTTATTTTAGCCATTCTGACAGTGTGAGGTGATATATCACTGTGGTTTTTTATAAATTTTATTTATTTAAGTAATCTCTACAGCCCACATGGGACCCGAACTCATGACCCTGACATCAAAAGTCATACTTCTGTTACTCAGCCAGCCAGGCATCCCTCATTGTTGTTTTGATTTGCATTTCCCTGATTATTAGTGATGTTGAGCATCTTTTCATGTGTCTATTGGCCATCCGTATGTCTTCTTTGGAGAAATGTCTGTTCATGTCTTCTGCCCATTTTTTAATTGGATTATTTGGGGGTTTTTCGGTGTTGACTTGATTATAAGTTGTTTATATATTTTGGATACTAACCCCTTGTTGGATATACCATTTGCAAATATCTTCTCTCATTCAGTAGTTGTCTTTTAGTTTAGTTGATTGTTTCCTTTGCTGTGCAGAAGCTTTTTATTTTGATGTAGTACCAATAGTTTATTTTTGCTTTTGTTTCCCTTGCTTCAGGAGACATATCCAGAAAAATGTTGCTATGGCCAATGTCAAAGAAACTACTTCCTATGTTTTCTTCTAGAATTTTTATGGTTTCAGGTTTCACGTTTAGGTCTTTAATCCATCTTGAGTTTATTTTTGTGTGTGGTGTAAAAAAGTGGTCCAATTTCATTTTTTCATGTAGCTGTCCAATTTCACCAACACCATTTGTTGAAGAGACTGTCCTTTCCCCATTGCATATTCTTGCCTCCTTTGTCTTTAATTGACCATGTAATTCTGAGTTTATTTCTGGGCTTTCTATTCTGTTCTTTTGATCTGTGTGTCTGTTTTTGTGCCAGTACCATATTGTTTGATTACTACAGCTTTGTATTGTATCTTGAAATCTGGGATTGTGATACTACCATCATTGTTCTTCTTTCTCAAGATTTGACTATTCGGGGTCTTTTTTATTTTATACAAATTTTAGGATCGTTTGTTCTAGTTCTGTGCAAAATGCTGTTGGTATTTTGATAGGGATTGCTTTAAATCTGTAGGTTGCTTTGGGTAGTTTGGACATTTTAACAATATTGGTTTTCCCAATCCATGAGCATGGAATATCTTTCCATTTGTGTCATCTTCAATTTCTTTCATCAGTGTTTTATAGTTTTCAGAGTACAGGTCTTTCACCTCTTCGGTAAAATTTATTCCTAGGATAAATGCTTATTTTTAATGTGACCTTTCATAAATATAATGATTTGGAAACATGTTGCCTGGAAATTTTTGTATGCAAATATAGCACTGAAAAATTGTTCAGTATATTTAAGATTCATAAGGAATCAACAAATTCATATTTCTAATTAATATGGTTATATAGAGTATGCTAATATTTTGAGTACAATAACATCTAATTTAAAAATTTATTGCAAAATGAATTAATTAAAATCTGAGAAGATATTGTTTAAGAAAGAAATATACTAATAACAATTAGTGTAGCCAGTTGAAAATTTTTCATTAGACTCTCAGCTGTACTTATAATAATGCATTGGTACATTATTTATTTTTTTAAAGATTTTATTTATTTGTTTGAGAGAGAGTGCGAGACCACAAGCAGGGGGAAGGGCAGAGAGAGGGAGAAGCAGGCTCCCCGCTGAGCACAGGGCCTGACGTGGTGGGGCTCCATCCCAGGATCCTGGGATCATGACCTGAGCCAAAGGCAGGTGCTTAATCAGCTGAGCCACCCAGGCACCGTGGTTTTAAGATTTCTATTTACAGTCTTTCTTTAAAGAAAGTTTTAGAGGAAATATTTGATTTTTCTTTTTTCTTTTTTTTTGATTTTTTTGAATATTTTATGTAT